CAGCGCCTTCGCGTGGCCTTGCATACCGCAGCTGAGAATAAAAGCAACATATAATTTGAGCGGTACATTTTAAGTACGATGTGTTGACCACATACAGTGTGTGCACCACATAATTCGATTCTAGCCAATCGACGCCGCCTTCGCTGCGCTCGGCAGCCAGTAGAACGCGCGTATTAGCGTGAGGATTATTAACCCTAGCCCGTTACGGACGGACTGACGGACGGACAGACACCAGACTCCACTAAAGGGGTAAGACTAGCCGTTCGCCGCCGCTACGCGGCGGAGTGGCATGGTTGGTTGGAGATGAGGTGGCCGCAAATTAAGTGCTTCTTCGTGTCGCGTGTTTTATGGGCGTCGTTCAACCTAGTTCGTCGTGGCTTCGTGTAGCCAACCACTTAACTGTCCGTAATCTCATGTGGCTTTGTACAATATCGTGGTTTGATACGTTTCCGTTACCCCGTACTACAGGCTGAATGTCGTGTTCTTCAATGGCCTGTGCTCTTCCGTGTTCTTCTTGGTTTCGTGGTTCTCTGTTCACCCGTGCTTCACGCTGTTTGTGGATATGCGCTCTCTTTTGAGCTCATGCACTTTAGTACGGCCTCTTTCGTGGCTCCTAACTATTCCCTGTTCTCAAACATTTACGCGGGCTGTACCGCTTTCGTGATACATAGGCATTCGTGGCCGTTGGCCTCCCATCACCGGTACTCTAACCAAAGGGTGCTATTCCGTGCTTTAGTGCCTCCATGCAGTCGTGTGGTTCCATCGCCCGTGCATCGTGATCTCCTGATGAAGTGTCATCGACCGCGGTATCACGCTATCGTGCAATCGCGGTGTGGTTATGCTTTCTATGGTATTGTGCACGTGTGGTGCATCTGCGTTGTCCGTGTTATCGTGCTCTACGATGCCATCGTGCTCCACGGTGTGTAATCGTGGTCATACCAAGCCCACCCCCTGTGCATTTGGTGGGCGGTTCGCGTCCGTGCAATCGTGTTCTCATGTACTGCTGTCCTCTGTGGCTCGGAAAGCTCAGGCTCTACACTGGTATGGTGCTCCGTGACTCGGTGATTTCGCGTACCAGCGTGTTCTCCGATGGTTTAGTGGCTATCCCACCGTCCATGCTGTCGTGTTATCTCTGGTGTCGGGGCTGGCCTGTCGTCTGTGTTATCGTTAGCTACCGTAGTGTCGCGCTCCGTGGATCGGTGAGCTAATGTTCTACCTAGGCATCGTGCTCCAAAAATTGATGATTTCTGATTTCCCGTATCTGGCCTCCTGCGGGCTCATGTATTTAGTTCCCTTCCGTGGCCCGTATGCCCCGTCATATTCTTGTACTTCTGTACTTTTCATGGCTGCGTGCTCTTCCGCCTTTCACGCTACTTATAAAACTTCGTGGTTTGCATCGGCTAAGTCTTCTATCATCGTACATGGCCTTCCGTGCTTCGTGTTGCTCTTCTATCCCATCGTGTACATAGTGTAGGTCGGTATCCCTTCGTGTTTCGTGTCCTTGCTTAGACATGTGCCTCCGCGCTAGCTGAATCACAATAGCTGTTCCCACTTTGTTTGATGTACACAGCGTATATTGTTGTTAAGTTCACATAATATCTTAAGGTCGCACACTACGCGCGCAAATACAAAGGAAGGTGACACTTTTTCCCGGAGGCAAGCCACAATAGTCGTATTTAAAGTTTTCACATTATTATTAATAGTAATATATTTGTTATTTATTATCAAACGTTGATATAGCAATTATGTGTACTACTACTACAAATAACTGCAAGTTAAAAAATGAATTGTATTTAAAATAGTACTACGCAAAACAGTATAGAAATTAAACTCATTAGAAAAGTACTACGAAGCGTAAAACATCATTCTATATCCAATAAGTACTAAAGTTTCGTTTGAGGCCGAAATATAAGTCACCAGGGCCTACAAAAATTTGCAGCGGCTCCTACGACGATATTGTACGTGTGTGCTCATCGGCGCTATTCAAATATGCTAACTAACGCGTACACAGGAAGCGCCCTTCGCATGAGGTGGCGGCCCACAGTTGAAAATGGGGCAAAATGATTTTTGAACTGTGCATTTTAAGTACGATGTGTAGACCACATATAATGTGTCCACCACATATTGCAATTTTAGCGAATCGAGGCCGCCTTCGCTGCGCTCGGCAGCCAGTAGAATACCCGCATTTGCGTTACATGAATTAACCCTAGCCGCGGACGGACGTACGGACGGACAGACAACACACTCCACTAGATGGGGTAGACTAGCCGTTCGCCGCCGCTACGCGGCGGAGTGGCATGGTTTGTTGGAGATGAGGTGGCCGCAAATTTAAGTGCTTCTTGGTGTCGCGTGTTTTGAGAGCGTGGTTCACCCCGTAGATCTTGGCATCGTGTATTTAACCACTTGCCTTTCCGTAGTCTCATTCGGCCCCGTATAATATCGTGGTTTGGAACGCTTCCGTTACCCCGTACTACAGGTTAGATCTCATGTTCTACAGTGGCCGGCGCTCTTCCGTGATCTTCCGGGCTTCGTGGTTCCCTGCTCACCCGTGGCACACGCTGCTTAGTAGTTAAGAGCTCTCTCTTTTGGGTTCATGTTTTTTAGTACTGCGTCGTGGCTGCTAACTATTTCCTGCTCTCAAACGTTTCGTGGGCTGCACCGGCTTCCTGATACTCAGTCGTTCGTGACCGTTCGCCTCCCATAGCTGGTACTCTAGCCGAAGGGTGCTTTTCCGTGGTTTGGTGCCTCCACGCAGTCGTGTTGTTCCAGCACCCGTGTATCGGGCTCGTTTAATGAGGCTCCATCGACCGCGTTATAACGCCATCGTGTAATTGCGATATGGTTTTGCTGTCTATGGTATTGTGCTCGCGGATTGCATCTGCATTGCCCATGTTATCGTGCTCTACAACGGCATCGTCCTCCACAATCGTGGTCACCACGAGCCCCCTTCTATTTCGTGGCTGGTCTGCCGTCCGTGCAATCGAATTCTAATGCGCTATTGTTCTCCGTGGAATGGTAAGCTCAGGTTCTACACTGATATAGTGCTCCGTGGCTCGGTGATTTCGCGTCTACAGCTCCAGTGGCCGCATTTCTATCATAGCTTAGTGTCTCGGCCACCGTCCAAGTCATCGTTTTATTTTGTGGTGTTAGCGCTGGTCTGCCGTCCGTTCTATTATTAGCTACCGTAGTATCGTGCTCCCTGGCTCGGTAAGATCCGGTTCTACCCTGGTATCGTGCTCAAATACTCGGTGATTTCCCGTTTATGGTCTCCCGCGGCTTTATGCCTGGTCCGTCGACCGTGCTCCGTGCTCTACCGTGATGCTATGGGAGAATTGCTGTTAGTGCACTCTTACCGCTGCATGCGCTTTCGTAGCCCGTGCTTTTCAGCATGCTGGGATGTCTATGGATTTAGTTCCCTTCTGTCGCCCGTACGCTCCCGTCATATTCTTGTCGTTCTGTCCTGTTCATGGCTGCGTGCACTTACATATTTCACGCTACGTAAAACACTTCGTGGTTTGCATCGGCTAAGGCTTCGATCTTTCGTGCTTCGTGTTGCTCTTCTATCCCATCGTCTACATAGGGTGGGTCGATGTTTATTCGGGCTTCGTGCTCTTGCTTAGTCACGTGCCTCCGTAAACACAATAGCTGTTCCCATTTTGTTTGATGTACGCTACATATATTGTTGGAAAGTTTGCAGAATATCTGAAGGTCGCACACTACGCGCGCAAATACAAAGGAAGATGACACTTTTCCCGGAGGCAGTGTGGGGTGAGCCACAATAGTCATATTTTAAGTTTTTCACATTATATCTAATAGTAATAAAATTGTGATTTATTATCGAACGCTGATATAATAACTATGTGTACTACTACTACAAATAGCTGCAAGGAAAAATATGAAATGTATTGATAATAGTACTACTCAAAACATATTGTAAGTTTAATTTTTAGAAAAGTACTATGAAGCCTAAAATATCATTCTATATCCAATAGCCACTAAAGTTTCGATTGAGGCCGAAATATAAGTCACCAAAGCCTAAACTTTTTTCAACAGCTCCTACGACGATATTGTATGTGTGTGCATGTCGGTGCCTCCTATTAATGCTAATTAACGCGTGCACAGGCAGCGCCCTTTGCGTGGCCTTGCGAGCCGCAGCTGAAAATGAGAGCAAAATGCTATTTAGAACGCTGCATTTAAGTACGATGTGTTGACCACATACAGTGTGGAA